AGGAGGCCGCAAGTGAGCTCTTCCCGGCTCGTCGACAACCCACCACCGCTATCCCCAACTTGTGTGCTGCTGCCCCAAACGAGGGCTTCTCGACCGACGCGTACCTGGAGGGCAGTAATAAGGCAGTAATAGGAGGAATACAGTAATCCTATGCTGGGCGAAAACTGAGCATAAATACCTTCTAGGGTTCCTCATAAAGTCCCTCCTACGCTCTCTTGTGGCACACATAAAGACTGTTTCCGCCCACGATACAGCGTAATCAACGCTACCGGGTAGGATAACACCCTCGTCCACAAAGGCCACTGGACAGTGTTGACGGAAGGGAGACCACACCCTACTGAGCCGATGGGTATCCCCATCACTATACCTACTACGACGGTCTCATCCACCCCTATGCCAATACTAGCCTTACCCCATCCTCAGGATATCCTTTGGCTCTCCTCCTCCTCCTCCATCCAAGGGTAGAGGCATCTCCAGCGGCCCTCCAGTGCGGACAGTGGTGAGATACCTTATCTGTTCGGCCAAGTCCCACTCATCATGGCCATCACCATTGATGAGAGTTGCCTCCTCCAAGCTGAAGTCAGTTGTCTGTTGAGGCCCTTGGATGTCAGCCAGTAGCCTCTCTGACTGCGTGACGAGTCTATTGATGATGCCCCTGAGGTTGGTATGCTCCTCCTCTGCCTCCCCTCCATGACCCTCCCCAATCCACTCTCCCTTCCTATGCAGGTCGAGACATGTGAATACATCTCCCTTGGCACCATCAAGGAGATACTCTCCAGTAAGGGCTTCCAGGATGTCAGGAGAGTCCTCCATCCCAGTAGGCCCCTCGGAAGGTACCTCCTCCCACCCACCACTCTCCATCACCTTCATGACTCTCTCACTGACCTCTACCGGCACCTACTACTATACCCTGCCTATTGCTACTGGACGTAATACTGCCCACCTGTAGGTCCTCATCCTCGGGGTTCTCCTCAGCCCTACGTATCCTCTCTCGAATCGCAACCATCATACCCTTCAATCGGTCCACATCCCATGTCGACACCTCAGCACCCGAGCCCCTATCGACATACAGGCTGGTGGCACAGGAGTCGATGGAGAAGCGTTGTAGGGCTGGCCATAAGTCCTTAAGGGGGTTCGGCACTGGAGCACCTTCCTCGATAGGAGAGCTCTCCTGAAGTAGAGCATTCGAAGGAGCCTCACCAGTGCACCTACCGTTGGAGGGCAGAAGACCGCATCGATATCCATCACCTCCTCCTTAGACAGTTCATCAGCCTCCAGCAGCCATCGTGCCATGACCTCAGCCTGTAAGTACTCCAACCACTCCATCTCCACCACCATCACGACCCTACCTGTTGGATGTTCACCGGCTCTGGTAACTCCATGACAAGGCCAACCTGTTGGCATCGAGTACTACGACAAACCATCTCCAACATCATATCAAGGACGACCTAAAGGTGATGATGGTGACGATGACCAGCCCCTTCTCAGTCTACCTTCATGCCTAGAGATGCCCCTCGATGCAGCTCCTCTATAGCCCATCTCTGTAGGGGAGTGCGGAAGTCAGTGGGAGTGGCCAGAGCCACATCCAATACATACTTAGGAGACACCAGCTGTAGACGGCCCCTGTGTTCTGAACACCACAATGAGCATGAGGACGGAAGCCGATCCTGACCTGAGCCGTCGGCCAGCAGCCTGCAAACCCTCTCCACTATAGATGTCCTCGGTGAGCCTCTACTGGTAATCATGATGAAGACAGGACGAGACCGGACCGCCCCCTGGAGTGGGCGCTCATC